TTCATTTAAAATACCCAGCATTACTTCAAGCCCTGCAGTCCTTCCCTTGTATTTCTCCAGCATGGGTCTCTCAGAGTGCAAGCATGCAATGTGATTTTACTCCTTCCTGCACATGGCTTCAAAGCTCATCAGGATCAATTCTGAGACAGACTGTCTCATCTGCCAGATTAACTCTTCTTGTTGATTTGACTTCCTTGAGTTCTGTTCTTCTATCATAGTAAAGAGGTCTATGTGGGTAATTGCATCTTTACTTTTAACCTCACAACTCACTTTTTTTGTTCTACTTCTGTCTGATTTTGCTACAGTGGTACAAGAGCTTTTTGGAGATAGAAAATATGTTATGGTTTTATAGAATGGCTATTCGCTCTGCAAAATAATAATAAAAAAAATCAATGATGAAATTCTAAAATATTAACAATTAATAATACACGACATACTATTCCTTTAAGAAATACAAATTCAATTGATTTTTCTTAATTGAGAATCCTGAGAAGAAAGATATGTGCAACTGGACACATTCTTGTTAGGCCTAGCAACAATTGTTAAAACTCAATGTATGTTTGGGGAATTGACACTCAGCTAGTAGAAATCAAATTTTAGCTAACTAGCTGTCAAATTATCAGCAAATAAATGAGCTGTAGAAGACATAGATTGCATCAGACAAAGAAGGCCATCTTGAATTAGCTCGATTCAAAAACTTAATCCGTTGCAGATTTATAAGTAAAAATTACAATTATGGCAGACCTTGACCTCCAACTATCGCTGAAGTGTTCACAGCTCAGTGTGAAGCAGCTGGGATGAGAATCAGCTCCTCCAAATCTGAGGTCCTGCCCCAAGTGGAGGAGTTTATGTATCTCAAGGTCTTGTCTTTAGCTGTTAACTTTATTTCAGCCATTAACTTTATTTTCTCTCCAAGTGTTTTTCTCCTCAGAAGAAGCCTCAGTGGTGTTCTTCTGAGCTGTGGTGGCCACATGGAGGGGGCCATCGGCTGGTACACTGCTGCTTTTACTCTCTTTGACATGGAATGTGCTACTACTAGTTCACCTGCTGAAGTGATTATAGATTCACTCAGATAAAGACAATAAAGTTTATATTTTGCTAAATATAATATTTACTAAGAAATCACAAGGTAGCTATAGAAATACTACTTGGTAAATATGGTGTGTGTGTGTGTGTGTGTGTGTGTGTGTGTGTGTGTGTGTGTGTGTGTGTGTGTGTGTGTGTGGTTGGTTGGATGGTTGGTTGGTGCTGGTGTGCGTGTGTGTCTGCTCTGTCTTCTCGATCCCCAGTGAGTCGTGGAGGATGGCTGCTTATACTGAGCCAGGATTCTCTGGAGGTTTCTTCCTGTTAAAAGGGAGTTTTCCTCTCCACTGTCGCTAAGTGCTTGCTTAGTATGAGGATTGCTGTAAAGACACTGACACTAGTCAGTGACTTGATGCAATTTGCTGGGTTCCTTATATAGGAAACCTGTATTGGAATGTTTACTTTGTGAAGTGCCTTCAGACGACTCTTGTCGTGATTTTGACGCTATATAAATAAACTGAATTGAAAACTGAATTGTTCACGAGTGAGGAAAATATGTAGCGGGATTGACAGGCAGATTGGTCAATTTATGTTCCTTTCCTCGCATATGGTCACAAGCTTTGGGTAGTGACCGAAAGAATGAGATCACAGATACAAACGGGTTTCCTCTGCAGGGAGGCTGGGCTCTCCCTTAGAGATAGGGTGAGAAGCTCGGCCATCTGGGAGGGGCTTGAAGTAGACCCGCTACTCCTCCAAATCAAGAGGAGCCAGTTGAGGTGGCTCGAAAATCTGGTTAGGATGCCTCCTGGACACCTCCCTGGTGAGGTTTTTGGGCACGTTTGTAATGTACCCAAAGGCCAGTATTTACATTACAAATGACCAGAAATTAACTTTTAATTTGCAGACAAAAACATCCAATCTGTCTGGTCTCCAAACAAGAAGCACTGCACAAGGCCTTGTCACTGGATAAAGGAGACATAATAAAACTAACTACCCTATCTTGGCTGGAACAAAAGTCATTCGGAAGATAGACTTTTCTGCACTCTCACTCTGAAGAAAGTTCATCTACCTTGAATCATAAAGGACATTTTTAAAACATGATAACTCCATAAGTATCATATAATCATCTCTTGTTAAATCCCAAAATGTTTGAATAATGTGTGCATTAATCAATGATGTGTTAAAATGAATATTTTTCCTGCAATGATCCATGTTAGATCTTAAACTACACCAGATTAGTATTTGTTGAGTTAACAAGTTAATCTATCAGTATAGCGCTCCGGACGTCACGTGACTCTCAGAGAGTAGACGCCATGTTGGCAGGCAACAAAGGTAAACAAAATGAACGGGATCGGCTTGGATTTTACGCCGTCGGAGTTTACTTCACACTTTAAAACTGAAGAAATCGTTTTATATAGTCAGAAATTAAATAGACTAATCATCTCCGACCCTTCCCATGCCCCTGGGAAACTTTTTTAAAACGCCAGAAGCTGTCGGAGCAGACCTCTTACCGGATTTGAGATACCCTGACATTCATAATTTCCTTGTTAATTTTACCGCGTCCTACTCCGGAGCATCGCTAAGTGCATATAAAAGCCTGGAGGGATACAATCAGGGTTTGTTGTCGGTATCCAGATCTGGATTCTTCCTGCAAAGGACAGCACTGTTGTGACCGGGAGGGTAAGTGGAGATTTTTGTTACCATTAGCAACAGCCCGTTGCAAGGTTATGTCTGTGTGAAACGTCATGTGCTTTTTATGTGTGATCTGACAATTGATCAACCATTGCTTAAAAATTAAATACAGCTTAGCCAGTTAATTGCTGTGATCATAAGACACGTAAACGGCAGCACGCAGAACTCACGAGGCAACGTTTTACTTGATGTTTACCTGTTGCTATGAGTAATAAGACAGAAAATGCCAAGCCTAAATAAATTTAGGAAGCCCACTAAGAATCGTAATAAAAGCATTTAAAATAAATACCATACACAGTTGAGGAAACATTGGTTTAGGTACCTGATATGAAGTGGTCGCTGCATAAGCTAAAACCTTTACTCTCGGGATCCCACAGCTTCATTTTAGCCTGGAGGCTAGCGCGTTTCATTGCGATGATCCAACGTTTGCGGCGTTCCGGATCTTGGGGAATCCTGTAGAAGGCTCTTCTCTTATCACGTCCACGTCTGTTCTGGCATCCTGGGGCACAACAGGAATCTACCATATTTCCCGTTTGATTGAGTTTTCTGGCAATAACAAATAGCCTAGCTGCGGGCTTCTGCCTGCCAAGACTGCGCCGTTCGATTTGAACTGTTGCATGCCGGGAGAAGTGACGTCAACTCCCGGAGCTCTATACTCATACATCATAAGATTAATATTAAGGTTTTAACATTCACTTCACATAAAAAACATTTCCACATCACACTGAGACTTTACATCTCTGAGTATCTGAGGGAAGGCGCAATTTCCGAGGTCTTTGTTAACGCCCTCTTAAAAGTATCAAATTCTGATTTGTCTAAGTTTATAAACAAAAGTTAATAAAAGCTAGAACACTTCCTGGTCTAGCCGGTCTTCACCGTTCACTCGATAAAGCCAATTGGGTGAACAAGCACTTTGAGACCATCCATTCTTTTGACTCCAAGGTCAAAGCCTCTCTGCAACGCTTGTGAGTGATAGCAGACACAACGGCTCTTTTAAGAGCCGCTCAACACATCAAACAGACATTCTAACCTGAAGACCCTGGTTACACCTCATGGCTGGACTAGAAATCTGAATTCAAAAGGAACTGCGCCTCTTTGGGTTCCTGTGGTCTCGACGTCCGGTGAACCTCACCACTCGGGCCGCTTTCGTACGGACCGCCGATGGGCAACCATCACACAAAGGGTGTGTAGAATCTGCACGATTGCGTCGAATGGTTTTATAAATAAATTTAGCTTATCAAACCATACAGCCAAATTGATTTTATAACCCACACACCACAAGCTCTCTCAGATACTTAAGAGAGGTTTTGCTAAAACATCTTGCTTCCACTCCATCACTTCATTCATCATCTGTTATCTGCATTATCATCATTTCATTCTAACTTTGTCATGTACAATCATTTAGTTTAGAAAAGAGAATTAAAATAATTTTTATAAACTACATTCTTGACTCTGTCTGGATTATTTTTGAAGTGTGTGTTCCCTGAATAAATCAAAGAACCTAAACAGAACATGGATGGATGGATGGATGGATGGATGGATGGATGGACGGACGGATGGATGGATAGTATGTTATAAAAATTTGATTAAAGTCCATCTATTCAGTTATTGCAACAGTGTGTAATGTGCAGCTTTTAAAACATGTGTTAGGAATGACTCTCAGCTAATGTAGCACCAGATCTTCGCTGGTTTATTGGCTGAATTGATTAGCTAAGGTGGAAATCCTGAGTTGCTTTGACTACAAAAGTTGTTTTCTGAAGGCTGGACTGAAATCCATCCAGTGGTTCATAAGATACTTTACTGACAAAACATATACATGCATGCACACACGCACACACATACAGCCTTTGGGTGACTCAAATTCAAAAAACCAAAGACAATCACTGCAGAAAAGAACAAGCACTGAAAACACATTCGTCATGCATTTGGCCATGTTTCTGCCAGGATTTTGTGTTGAGATGCACCATTATTGTTCAGCACAAGTGCTAATTTATTCAGCAAAGGCTCTGTGTCTCCCATCTATTCATTTCAATGACTGACAGCTGAGAAAGGACACTGGTGCCTGCTGGTGAGTGCTCAGATTATTTGAAACTGCTGAAGCCCACAGCTGTCAGTACCGGCGTTTGTTTCACCTCTCTGGCTGACAAGAATGAAAGAAAATAAATCCGCTAGTTGGTTGGTTTTGCGACCCTAACAACTCTCTAAAGGTGAAAATCACAGAGAGAACACCAGCAATGAGCTTGTTACTGTGTTTATGTCTTTTTGTGCATGCACTTTGCTCCTACCTTGCGGCCATCGCTCGCATGGCAGTTGACGTTGAGTGGCGTAAGCAAGGCCATTAGCTTCTCCTCGTTTCCACCCCTGAAAATGTACACACACCAACACACATAAGACATAATCCAGAATTTAACCACTGCTATGGTGGATTAGTCAAGTAACTGGGGGGGGGGGGGGATGGGATAAGAAGCCTGAGAATGAAGGGAAAGAGCCCGAGAAATTTCCATCAATAACAAACACACAGAGATGAATTGGAGGGGTGTGTGTGTGTGTGTGTGTGTGTGTGTGTGTGTGTGTGTGTGTGTGTGTGTGTGTGTGTGTGTGTGTGTGTGTGCGTGTGTGTGTGTGTGTGTGTGTGCGTGTGTCATTTGCTTTCTTCGAAGTTCACCTACAGAAAGGTTGGGATTAAGATTTTTGGTGTTGATCTGTTCTTCCTGGTTTAGGCTCCCTGTTCTGGCATTGGACCGACACCAGGAAGTGTTGCCAAGGCAGCGACCGATCTAACCAACTATTGGACCATCCAGTTGTCTTTCTTACCGAACCACCACACTTCCACATTTACCTTGGTCCTCCACTCAATTCACACTTGTGTGATCTGTGACAGAGCACCACTGGTGTAAGAGGTTTTCCGCTCAGTAATATCAGAGAAAGAGAAATAGTCAGCTGCTACCACTTCAACTTTAGGACAAACTACCAGAGTCCCGGAAAGAGTAAAGGACAACAAAAGATATTTGGATCTAGAAAACGGTGGCTGGTGTTTAACGATATGTTGTTTCCTCTGGCAACTTGCATTTCCATATGAGGGGGACATGGCCTAGGGATGAAAGCTGACAAAGCTAGCTTGTTTTGCAGATTTGCCATTGCAGCTTTAAGTGATGTCCGACAAAGATATAAAGTAAACGCTTTATAATAAATCTCTGGGTAATGTTGGCAAATCCAGACACCCTTCCACGATCTTCCAGCTCTTCATTTTTGTACCTCTGAATTTCATCTAATTAGAGCCCATCAAATCTCTTTAGATGCGTGTTAATGATTTGAGGAAGTAAAAGATACACAGGGGAATTTTAAGTGCTCATTAGCCTTTAGAAAATATGATCAGTCATCATTTTGGTCTACATCCAGACTATTTTTCTTTACTGTACTTTGCAAGGACCTGTTTAGCACCTCTCCTTTTCCTTTGTCACCAGTTTTTTTGGCAATCTCACCATCTTTATTTTCTGCCACAACTTTATTAATCATTAGAGAAAAGGTGCTGCAGTAATGCTCAGATTAAATAAAAATAATGTTTGTAGATAATCAATCTTTTCAGTAAAATGGTTTGAAAACATTGTAAGAGTTAAAGAAACTTAAGAGGGATTCCAGCAGTGTATAAATTGGTCTAAATTATTGTTACTGAGATGTTTGGTGTGAGAACCTTGAAGATCGGGGTGAGTTTCTCATTGTGAAGTATACTGGGGGTAACGAGAAGCAATTAACACCTCCCAACCAGTTTCCAATCAGCAATAGTGCGGTTGTGTGATATCAAACATGTTTGATATTTTGCATGAGGATAGGGCACTACTGAACAAACCACGACCCCAGCGTACCTGAACAACTCAACGCATGCACCAACATGGCTGTCCAGCCATTTCTGTGTCCACACACATCATTTATTTTTATTTTATCCCCGTAAACCCTTGTGTGTCCTTCTACAACTACAGCAAACCTGAAGGACAACAGACATCAATAACTACACAACAGTCTCTGGTTTTTCAGGTTTTTGTACTTGAGCCGTCAGGTTGCATTCAAGCATTAGTGTGAGACCAGAACTTGTGGGCTTTGCTCTGGAGCTGGACACTACGAGTGAAAATGCCACACAGTATAAGTCCAGGTTAACCTGACAGCAGTTTAAAGGTAAAACATTTACATGAACATTTATGAATATTTAAAGATCTAAATTGTTTTCAGAATGACAGCGACTTGAGCTTGTGAATCCTTAAGGACATAAAAGCTATTTCTTTGAACATAGGCTATTCAGGACGAACATTAGGTTATTATTTATAACTTTTCCACAAGAGCACTTTTCAAAACGGCAGAAAAAAAGCCTTTTTATTATTACACACTGATAAAATGGGTCTTTTTAAACACACTTTTTGGATCAAAATGCTTCAAGTACAACTGAACACCATTTTCTGGATCTATTAAGAGTCTGTTTTTAAGGGTGAAATTTGCCTCATCTCTTGCAGGCATCCTTGTGTGTTTTCGATTTCAGCCATTAGCCGTCACAGGCATGGACACATGTCCAGAGCTCAGAGTCACTACAATCCTCTCAATCCATCCTTGCTGCACTTCCTACACTCCAATATCTGCCTTTACAAATCCTAAATGGACTGTAAATAAAACAGAGTGACAGCTCTATCAATTATCCATTTCACTGGAGTTAGAAATAAATAATTATTTCCCCAAAACGACTGAGGTGAAAAGTCAGTCACAAGCTCAGCTGTGAGTCAGCCCCACGGGCTTAATGGACTACGTATAAACAACCCTCTGACCCGGTAATACACTAGGGTGAATCTATGCTAAACCATCTGCTTCCTTCTATGTCTATGTGTGTGGTTGTGTGTATGTGTGTGTGATGCTGGATGAGGGAAAAGAGGGGGTCTGTTGAGGCATCAAGCGCTCAGCCACCCACACACAATTCCAAAAAGAGAGCTGTTCCACTTTCCACATGCAAAAGCCGAAAAAACACAAACACACAGCCCACATCAGCAGCATGCAAAAAAAAAAAAAAAATAATAATAATAAATGCACAAGTGTCACTAGCCCAAAAGGACCAGGCTTTCTGAAATCTGAAACACGTAACTTGTGTGGGAGCTGTGTGTGTGTTTATACCAGGGGGGAGGGGAGGACAATTAATTCAAACAAAATAAAAAATTAAGTTGGATTTTTTTTTAAATAAATTCAAAAGGAGTGGATGGAGATAAATAAAGGCCCAATTGAACAAAAGGAGCTGTAGAGGGAGGGGGGCCAAAAGGCAAAAACACAAAAAGTAAAATAATTAAAAAAAAAAAAGGGGGGGGGGGGGGGGGACCAGATGGATTGGAGGAGAAAAAGTAGGAGGAAGGATAACAAGACATGAAAAGCAGAAAAGACAGAAACCAAATGAAAACAAAGAGCATCCTGAGTCTGGTACTCACCTTGCTGCCTCCAGCAGCTCATCCTTCTTGTATTCACCTAGATGGTTACAGAAGATCATGGTGTCAGACAGCGGGCCACTAACACACATCAACCACACAGACACACACATGATCATATAGACCAAACAGCCATGGAAAGACACACACACACTATCTACTGAGGGAGTACACCATATTTCTTTCTATCTAAGCGCTCCCTCCTTCTCTTTCTCTCCCATTCTCACTCAGCGCGCACCCCTCTGACTACGGTTGCCGTGACGATGTGTTGCCGGCAGCGACCACAGCGCGTTCATTGTCTGGGCGACGAGCGGCGGACTGACACGTGCTCTCCCTCTATGTGTCCGTGGGTCCATCCATCCCTTCCTCCTTTAAAGCGCTGGTCTCAGGCGTCTCGGCCGTCGCTCATGCTGCGCTCCATCGCCCGCTGGTCTTAGTCATCCATCTCTTCCTCTCCCCCTCTCCCCCGTCCCTCTGTATCCGTTTACCTTTGTTTTTCGTCTCGGGATTCAGGGGGTGCAGTTAGCATTAAATAAGGAAAATGCCACATAAATAAACAATCCCCTCCCCCTATCTCAGTCTCCCCAGCTCCCTCTCCATCGCTCGGTCCTGCCTCCCCACGGCTACAGGCATAACAAACACATCTACCCATATGCATCCCTCCTGCCTGGGACACAGACATGTGTGTGTGTGTGTGTGTGTGTGTGTGTGTGTGTGTGTGTGTGTGTGTGTGTGTGGGGGGGGGGGGGGGGGTCCTTTGCATTACTTTGTCTGCTAAGGAAAATGCCGGTTGGCAGTAAAACTGCTGGTGTTCACCACCAAATCACCAAATTAAGTATGTATTTCCCAAATAATCTGTTATTTTTTTGCTTTGATCAACTGATAAAATATTAATAATAGTTAAAAAATAATCTAAAACAATAAAAAGCAAGTATTCATTGTTTCTCAATATTTGTTGTAAAAGAGGTGACAATGGACATAAAACATATTTAATCAGACAGTATCAATTTTTGGTAAAAATGTAACAAAGATAACAATGGGGCATTGTTCAGCACTTCAATCAAAAATACTGTTTTAAAAAGCATTTATGACTTGAAAATCAGAAATAAACAAATAGAAATTATTAAATTAATTAGATGAATTAGATATTTGAGAACTGAAATATTAAGGTGACATGGATTGTAACTAATATCAATAAGAGATTTATCACATTACACATACTTTATAAATTTGCTATAAATCAAACAACTATTGTTTATTTTAACTTTATTCGCAAGATTCCTCAACTTGTTTGAATTTTTTAACAAATTTGAGTGAATTAAAAAATAAAACTCACTTAAGTTGTATACTTTAAAATTGGACTTCAAACTGTTTAGCTTGTTAGTGGCCTGACTTTTTAAATATTTTCAAATATGGCAATTCCGTGGGACAAGAAGCTTGCATTCAAGTGTAAAACATAAAACAAACATATCAATTTTGACCTTTTGAGCTTCAGTGTGAAACCATAGAGCAGGGGTAGTCAATTCCGGGCGTGGAAGGCAAGTATCCAGCACATATTTGTTATAACCCTGTTTCAGCACACCGGATTCCAGTCAGCAGGTGATTAACAGGCGTCTGTAGAGCTGCTGCACAAATGATTCAACCACTGAACAAGTGTGTTGGAACATAGAAACCACTAAAACGTGCTGGACACTGGCCCACCAGGACTGGAATTGACTACCCCTGCTCTATGGTTTCACACTGAAGCTCAAAAGGTCAAAATTGATATGTTTGTTTTATGAGATGCCTCTGCCACACCCATTGGGTGTATAGTTCAGAAGAGAGCCAAGTGCAACGACACAGTACAAACCATGCTCAGGGTTTTATATTTTCAGTCCCAAAAGGCTCTTGACACAACACAAAAAACACTTTTTGGAAAGCTGCATCAAAAGAAAATAATTCACAACAATGCAGGCCAAAAACCTCACATTTAAGAAAACAGATCTTGTTTTATTTCTTCACTGGTGTCAAACTGGCAACTCTGCTTGAGACATTTGTAAAAAATAAAATAAAATAAAAATACCAAACTGAACTGTCAGCTTACGACAGCGTTTCAGGGTATCTGCAGGTTCAAAGGAGCCAAATTTAAGACTTTTTAAGACCTTTTTAAGGCTACTTTGACCAAATTTAAGCAGTTTTTTTAAATTAAATTTAAGCTATAATTTCCAGCTATTTCCTGGAACTGGTGCTAACCACGTAGCGACCGTGGGATTAGCCATCCAGTTACCATTAAACTTGCACTTCCCCATGGCGCAAGCCTGTCCCTTTTCTGTCCAAAATCATTGAAATGGTGGCTTTCAAGCAGATCACAGAATACCTCTCACAAAACTGTCTGCTTGACCCATACCAATCTGGGTTCAAAAAGGGCCACTCCACTGAACTACTCTGTTAGCAGTGACGGAATCCTTAAAAGAAGCTAGAGCGACTGCCAAATCCTCTGTGCTTATCCTGCTCGAATTATCGGCTGCATTTGACACTGTCAACCATGGCAAGCTTTTGTCCTTACTCTCTAGCATGGCCATCACAGAGAAAGCACATGCCTGGTTTGAATCGTACCCCACAGGACGATCATTCAGTGTATCTTGGCTTGGACAATCCTCTACCGTGCACCATCTTGCCACAGGAGTCCCCCAGGGCTCTGTACTAGGACTTCTTCTCTTTGCCATATACATCACCTCACTGGGTGAGATCATTCGATCACATGGCTTCTCCTACCACTGCTATGCAGACGACACCCAGCTCTATCTGTCATTTCCACCGGACGACCACACCGTCTCTGCACGAATATCAAACTGTCTCTCTGACATATCAAAATGGATGAAATCCCACCATCTCCAACTCAACCTCTCTAAAACTGAACTACTTGTCATCCCAGCAAAACCATCCATACAGCACAATATCTCATTCCAAAATGACTTCCTATCTCTGGCTCCTTCAAAGGCAGTTTGAAATCTGGGTGTTGTGATTGATGAACACCTGACCTTTAAAGATCATGTTGCCTCTGTTGCTCGTTCATGCTAATTTGCGCTGTATAATATACGAAAGATCAGACCATACCTAACACAAAATGCCACCCAGCTCCTGGTGCAATCTACTATCATCTCCCGCCTCGATTACTGCAATGCCCTTCTAACTGGTCTTCCAGGCTGTACTGTGAGACCCCTTCAAATGGTCCAGAACGCAGCGGCACGTCTGGTCTTCAATCAGCCAAAAAGAGCACACATCACCCCTCTGTTCATTGAGTTCCACTGGCTACCGCTAGCAGCACGCATCAAATTCAAATTGCTAACACTAGCATACAAAGTCCAAGATGGTACGGCTCCCATCTACCTGAATCCTCTTGCAAAGGCTTAAGTCTCGGCCCAGCCGCTCCGGTCATCACAAGATCGTCGGCTAGCAGTGCCTACATCACGCTCAGGACAATCCAGACTCTTCTCATGCATCTTTCCACATAAGGGTAATGACCTTCCAAGCACTACCAGAACAGGGGCTTCCTATTCAATTTTCAAGAAACTCCTGAAGACCCTGCACTTCAGAGAGCATCTTCTTAACTAGCACCCTGCCTGCACCTCTTCCCCCTCTCTACTGTCCACTCCTTGTTCCCTCCTCTCCATGACTGATGTCAAGTTGTTGTTGTTATTGCTGTTGTTAGCCTCAAGGGCCACATGTCGATTATCACTTGTAAGTCGCTTTGGAAAAAAGCGTCTGCTAAATACATAAACATAAGCTCCCACTAGCTTAACCAGCTAATGTGCTCATCTAAAAATAGCCCCCTTTCACAACAAACTGAATGTGTACGGTTCCGCTTATGCCAATATCATGCACAAAAAATGCTGAACACAAACTAGAAATTCACGAAAATTTTAGAGAAATAAAATAATCTTGTTTATTGGGTCTTTGGTAACTTAAGACCTTTGGAAATGGTATTCAAGGATTATTTGTCATTTTTAAGGATTTTTAAGGCCTTAAATTTGGAAAAGCAAATGTAAGACTTTTAAAGACTTTTTAAGGACCAGCGGATACCCTGGTTTTAGCTCTGGATTACTAGCTCTCAACTGTCTTATCTGAATGTGTTTTTTTAACAAAATAGTCATAGTTTTAAAGTGACAGTGTGTGTTTATCCTGGGGATAGGGGACAGTACATATCTAAATCAGTGTAAGCAAGCCATATTTGTGTGTTCGAGTAAGACCTTACCAAAGGATGGCCATTAGGGTTACAAAGCCCTGGGAGTACAGCCTCCAGCAAAATGACAAACACATCCGACTCCCTTTCATCACTGGCAATGAGTGAAGAGGTAAATGTTTAAAAGAACATTTTTTTTGAACAGCAAAAGTTCAGTAAGTGAATTTAGTCCTTGCAGGTTCCCGTAGAAGGAAACATAGCATCTAATATGGTGTCGCCCAGAAACTTAGATCCACTCCCATGCATTTTAGACCCTATTTTTGTGGTTATATGTAACAACGCTGCCAATAATAGTCAACAACTGGGTATCATTTATTCCTTTTCAACAACATTTAGATGGATAATTCCAGAGGTTAATGGTAAAAATGACACATTATCTCTTTAAAGACTGCATTCAGTGATGCATTCAGTGATCTGATGAAAACAAGAACAACTTTGTAAGTTGTAACATAAAACTAAAACTGTTAAAACCATGGACCTGGCACAACAGAGCTGCTAGAGAAGAAGAATGAACAGACTATGACACGATTAAATGGGAAGATGATGAAGAGGATGAGCTGGGACTACATGGAGCAGATGAGGGGGTGGAGTCGGGCGAGCCCCAAAGAAAAGAGGATACAGGAAAGGAAAAGGGAGGAGGAGAAAGGAACAAAGGATTTGTAGATGAAAGAGAGAAGGGATGATTAGGGATCTGGAAAGTGACATGCATGGATTTGACACAGTATAATTGGAATTACAGAAGCTTGGACTGAACAGAGAAGGGCAGACAGAGGGGTAGAAACAGGCCGAGCTAGAGGAAAACCCAGAATCAGAAAGAA